GCTATCAGCATGTTCCTGTCAACGGTTTGCCGCGTCACATGGCTGCGTCCGTAATGTGAGCATGTGTCAACACTCATTTTGCATATCTGTCGACAAACTATAGCTTGCAAAGAGAACAGCTCTCAGAGGAAAAGTGGTCTGCAGTCATGGCAAAACTCCAACGTCTAGCTCCAAACTGGTCCAGCACTAAAGAGATCTGACTAAGGGGAAAATGAATAGGAATAAAAAGAATCTGATCCAAACACACAACTTCAGTCTCTTCAACTCTGCTCAGGAGGTTTCTTAAATCTGCAGGTGCACTGCTCCTTCACAGGAAGCTAGAGCTACCACATAACAAGAGAGGGGGAGGACGAGGAGGAGGGCCTACACAGTGACTGCATCCTGACAACAACCTCTGATTACACCAATCAGAACAACACAGTCAGGGTGAGGGCAGGAGTAACACCTCCACACTGCAGTGCCAATAAACAGCAGGCCTGACTCACTCAAAGTCTACTCAACACCAATGACAACGTTGCTGACGAACGGGGAAGGTTATCGCAGACGTAATGTCAGGAGAGCTGTGGCTGGAAGATGTGTCTGAGCAATAGGAAACTCCAGCTGTGGCTAAAATTTTAATGAGCAGCTTTATGAGCTTCTTTATTAATCAAATATTCCAGACTCCATTTTAATCAGCAGATTCTGGAGATTACTGTCCTCCCATGCTCACACAGGACGGACAGACCCCACACAGACGTGCACAGGCTTGCGCGCTGCTGCTGCTTCATCCGCCACATCCCTACAACAAAGTCAAACCAACGTTTCATTTCCCTAAAGTGAATCATCTTAATACAAAAAAAAGGTCAAACTGGTCCACAGGAGCGACATCCAATTAGTGTCAAGTGTGACTAATTATAATCTGACAAATGTGTGAAATGAAGTCAGAAACCCAAGACAGAGGCTAATTATAGCACACTGAAACACTTCATTAAGCACAGTTTATAGCAAGGAGACATTCCACATCAGAATGCTAAAACGTCGCTGAGATGAAACAGCAGACGCGCACTGAAGCTTGTTGGGACACGAGAGAGAAATAGTCCAACAAAAAGGTAATAATAAAATGTACTTTCCAATAATAATCCAGCTCTTATAAATAAACCACAGATACTTTAAGAGAGAATGGTAGGAGCTACAATGAAGTATTGTTCATTTAATATTTACATTGAGCACTTTTAACATCAAGTACTTCACTGAGCTGTTCAGGTGGTACCTGTGGGACTGGGGGCATTGCATGAAAAAATAAAAAGGTGCAAGCAAGAAAATGCTAATGTTCACTTGGGGGCGGGGTGGGGGCAGTTTGAAGTGGACATTCAGGTGTCAAAAACACCATTCTGCATCCTTCCCTAGTTGTAGTAACAATGTCACAATAACAATGGCAACTCTGTGGGTGATGTGCCAGGTGTTGTGTGGTCCACCCTTTGTGCATACAGTTCACGGAGGTGCCAGGGTACCTCTATGGAGGAGCAGATGGTTCTCCTGCTTGTACCCAACACTTCCTCTCTGTCGGAGCATCTCTCTGACAGATGGGCCCAGGATCCTGGACCAAGCTAATCTCCAGCACTCCTCCACTTAAAGGCACAGTGGAGCGCCTGCTCTACCTCCACAGTCCCAACGAGCCATGATGGTGATAGCACATCCATACCGGCTGGACGCTTCAGTCACGTCCAACTGTACGTGCGTGTCATAAAAAGCCCTTTCCCCCCTGATTAGAATATAAAATGACACAAGAAGCAGGGGGGGGGGCTAAATGTGTCTAACTTACAGTAATGTGACAGCCAGTGGAATTGGTGAAACAATACAGAAGAACAAAGGAAAAAGGTGGAGCATTTCTTTGAAGTTGAGGGACAAAATGACTATTGCACAGGCTATTTAAGCACAGAGGGACTGTCTATTTCTAACGGCGGACTCGAATTGCTGTCACTTTTGTCGATTTCAGCAGCAAGCATGCAAATACAAAATGCCTCCTCCCTTGCTTTACAGGGTCCTGACCACGTCTGCGCTCGGAGGAGCCAAAGTTGACATGTCGACATTTCACACAACTATAAACGACTTTAGGAATGTCAGATGATATTCCGCTGCTGTGCCCAGCCGAGCACGAAGAAAATCGGCTTTTAATTATTCGGAGCGGCGCAAAGGCACGTTGTCGACAGTTTCCAAATAAATTTATAGCCCAGGAAAGACGACACTCTCCTGTGTTGAATGCTTAACCGTGTGAAGGAGAAGCTCCGCTAGTGCAGTCAAAATGTCAGGCAGCCTTGCGCACATGTTTAAGACTAAATGTTAAAACCTTGTGGAATAAAAGAACTATACGAGGCTACTTTGCCATGCAAGAAGTACACAAAAATGAATTTGGACAGCTTAACCTGTCATAAGCACACGGCTGGAAATCACGTGCACGAACAGACAGTTTTAACGTACAAGTTGGCAACAAAGTAATTATTCACAATTTCCTAAATGTCTAAATTACTTACGCTTTTAGTGGATTCTGAATGACAGCCGCCATTTTGCTACAATGTAACGCAATATCGGCGTCTTGCAGTTCTGAGGGAAACCTACGGAAATTGACCAATCAGAGCTCGGGGTGAATTCGTGGACCAATACATCTGCAGCATACGCAGATGGGGCGTGGCTTTCTGGGGTAAACTGTCAAAATTATTTTAAAGGGTTTTCCCTTGTATTTATATTATACACAACTGAATATCAGCACTTTTAAAAAGACCCTTACTAGAGCTTGGATATGGATACATATCAAGTGCAGTTACCTCATGGCATACTGACACCATGCAGTACAAGTGGCACAGAATATCAACATGGAAGCTTGTGTTTAATTATTTATTAAAATAATTATAAATCATTCATCATCATCAATAAGAACCAAGCAAACATTTCCCCCTCACTTTATCTGAAGCTGCAGTGTTGGAGAGGAATGGAAGCAAGGCTCCTAATACACAGACATGCACACGATCTACTCCTCCCACATACAGTACATTAAGTGGTTTGACAGGGAGATTCAAACACACACACACACGCGCGCGCTCACTAAAGACATGGAGGCAATTCAAGATGATGTTTTTGACAGACGGGAGCTGATGCAACTTTAATCTTATGCAAATCTTCCACCAGTTTAGTAAGTATCCACATATCAACACTTCAAGTTAGATTCCAGCATTTAAATGTGTCAATCATTCCTGCTTGGGTTTTAGTGTGTAGGTGAGAAGTGTTGACAATAGTGCCCGACCTAAACGAAAAAACTGGACATCACTAAATGCATTTCATAAAAAAACACAAAGCCTATCTGAAGCAACAGACTGCACACATTTGCATGTGAATGAATGAATTCCAGTACAAGTAATTTGCCATGATGTGTTTCCTATTCTATACTGTGCAATATTAGCATCTCAGCAGGGTGTGTGTCTGTGTGTGTGTGTGTGTATGATGCAACATTCAGACAGATAAATCTATTTTGAGACAAGGCAGACACAACATCTTCTCATCAGAACCTAAAAGTTCCATGTTAGGTGCAAAGGGAGAATTAACTTTATCTACAAAGACCCTTTTTCTCTAATTTTTAACAACAAAATACAAACATGTGTTAAAGGCATCACCTTGTGCTTTATGACATCCAGATGTAACGTTCTCAGTACTCAAAAACTCAAAACTAGCAATGATGCAGGACAAGTTAAAGCTCTCAGTCACTAAATATGGTTTGATGTCTCAACATTGTCACACTTGAGCATACATTGCACAAAGCAACATGGGGAAACAGGGTGCTTCATATACAGGCACTACAAAGTACATAAATATCCGTACAGTAACTAACTTCAAACAAAAATCAGAAAAAGAAAATATACTAAATCTTTTAATAACGGATGTAAAATAACGGAAAAACAAGCTGTGAAGAGCTACGACGGAACATAAATATGTTGACCTTTGTCAAGAGCCTTTCTCCTGTCAGACCTGGAGGTGTGAATGTCTTTTGTAAAACTGGTTTGAAGACATATTTAGATATTCTTCAGTTCTGCAAAGCAATATCCATACAACCAAGCAGGCAGGCAAATGTAAATATTTAGAAAACAAGTAAAAACTCAAGGCATCAAGAAATTTTTTTTTAACATGATGAAATACAAACATTTTACAACATGTATACGCTAAAATGCCACTTGGTTAAAGGGATAGTGATGTTTAGACCATGGATTTCTCAGACTGTCATGCACGCCGGGGTGCTAATAAGTTGTTTTTTTTTTATCTTCAATACATAAATAATTTTTTAACATTTCTAATGTACACTCCTCTAACATAGTTCTATGCCTTCATACAACCACAAATTACATGATAAAATATAAACATTATACCAGCACGGACACAGTGACCTGAATGATTTTTGGCACGCCAGATATCCACAATCTAGACCTACTGTAACAGATTTCAGTTCAGTTCGGGACAGACCACTTGATCATCTGGATATCTGGATTTTAGCCACGGTAAGCAACAGCCGATAACAGCTGAGAAAGGCTTAGTGCAAAAACTAAAATGTTGCAATACAGCATGCAATGGAACCTGCAGTTATACCTGCGCGGATATAAAACATCTCCTTGCCATTACATGTACGACATCCGAGAAACAATGCTCAATAATACGAATTGCTAGAATCTAATCAAACCAACCCCACAGGGTTCTCAGCTAACTAATATCTTTAAATGATACATTTTTTTCATATTTTCTGATAGTAGAAAAATAGCTCAACAGCCTTATTTAACATAAAATTAGGGATTTGTGTCAAGAAGAATCAAAATATTCATTCAAGTAACTCACATGTTCTAGCTGTTCTACAAAGGCCACAGGAACTCTGAAATCCCTATATATATATATATATATATATATATATATATATATATATATATATATATATATATATATATATATATATATATATATATATATATATATATATATATATATATATATATATATATATATATATGCGCCTAAAACTTCCTTTCCACAGATACAAGACAGAACCATTACAGTAACAGAGGTAAAGCAGTGACAGACTGCGAGCTGAGTGAGTGGTTCTCTCCGGCGCTCTGAGGAAGGAAGGCCGTCCCCGTTAAAGTTCTCCGGGTTTCTGGTTGCAGCCGGTGCAAATGCGCACAGGGTGGTCCCAGCCCCGCGATGGAACAGGCCGACGCTCCGGGGAGCAGTCGTCACACACTCCTTGACCACAGGCGCGGCAGTGGTGCTTGGACAGCTTGGCAGTGAACTCGCGCTGGCAGTTGTGGCAGGACAGGATGTCCTGGTCAGGCACCCAGTAGGCAGGACGGGCTGCGTCTTTCACTAGGCCTACAGGAAATACATCACATGAATAAGCTCACTAATTAGCATGCTATATCTTGTTTTTTTAATCTGTACAAAAACTGAAGTGTGAAAAAAACATCAAATTGTGGTTTTATGGGAGTGATGTCCTGGACTCTTTCTTGGCAGGGAGCAATGACCCGGGGCAATTCCCAGAGTGTCTGTTGGTTTCACTACTTTTAGCCAAGAAATAGTCCACCATAATGTGCATTTCCCAATGTGTTGAGCTATTCCTTTTATTTAGCTCTATGAGCCACTTCCATTCCCATCCCTGCTGATTAAATACCGTTTTATTTTACTGTCCCTACATTTATATGCATTCTCAGTAACCATTGCTGTGCTTCAGCTTTGTCCATGCTTATTTGTCCTCACTACTAAGTGAGGACCGTAACTTCAAGTTAAAAAAAAAGTCCTTAGCTGTCTTGGTTGGAGTATCCATGGAAACAAGACTTTGATTAGGAAACAAATAGGCTAATTTTGTTGTGATTGGAGCAGGCTGTGCTCTGAGGTATTTTTGGAGTGGTGATGGATATGCAGAAGTTTTCAGCAGGATATCAGGTTATCAAAAACATATTCACCTATGCCCTTTACCAGTAAATATGGGTCCACAGTAGGCTTATGTAGATGCCACCTGAATATACAGGGTTCCCACTATTTTCTATAGATCATTGTCCAGGACATTTTCAGTCATGATCCAGCTGCTGTGACAGGCAGGAATCAAGCCATGCATTAATATGCTCCTCTCTGTGGAATGTTTTATGTTTTAATGTCACTATTACTACCATCTCCTCTTACCGTTTATTTTATTTTTTGCTTTGTTGTTGTTATTATATATTTTTTGGTATTATAGTATTCTGTCATTGCATTTTATTTTGTTTCTTTGGGAAAGCCCTTTGTGTGCTATGCTTGGCAAATGCTATGTGAATAAAATGCATCACAATCATTATTATTAATTTACAACTTGAATCCCCTTTTATGTCTTACATTAACCACTGCTGCCTGAACATCAATAACTAAATAGTAGACTGAACCATACATACCTAAATGCACGAATTTGAATTTATTTGACATTGCTAGGATTATAAACTGCCGCTTATCAGTTTATCACATCATACTTTACAGGTAATATTAAATTTGAGTCTTTAACAAACTAAAAACACCCACTGTGAGCTGCCACTACAAACGTTAAACATTTCATGTCATGTTATGGTCCATTTTATCTTAACAATGCAGCATTGCGTTTGAAGAGACAATGCTAGCAAAGTTTTTAAAAAGTACCGTTAGCCAGTATTCAGCCAGTGGGAGTCCCATTCATGGTTTCGACCCCGGCTTCCCTGTCATCAGTATTCAACTCTCATAACATTTTTTGCAGTAAAAACAAGCAAGCACATCAACTTCAGCAACTGAACCAAACATGCCAACCAATTTAACATTATTCAACCGCTGGGAAGAAAGCAACGTTTATATATAAACCTAATAAAAACCACCCCAGTTATCAGCCAGCTGTGACTAACAATTGCATATGAAGGATAATGTAACTGACATTATTCAGGGTTTTGCCACGTAATGTCATCCAACATGCATGTGCTACCATGTGACGTGACATAGGGGTGTGTTCACAGTGTTTCAACAAGAAAAAAACAGTCTCGTCTATAAACTACCACTTGAACGTTAATATGACCCTGCACGTAACTCGGCCCTTTCAGATGGCAATATTATCCGACAGACAGCCTGGTCGTTCATTCTCAGATGAAGGGAAATAGGACAATGTTGAAATAATTTTCCTAGACAACATGAGGACATTTTCCATGTGCTTTTTATGAACGGAAAACTGGTCAGCTGTTTTCCAGGACGAGTGGGAACCCTGGTATATAAATGATCATACTACTTAATGCTAATGATCAAACTGTTTTGAGGTTTTCCAGATATGATTAAGACTTGCGTGAAACAACAACCAGAAGGGAGAATGATGAATGGGCTGTGATTTGTGGTGTGTATTTGAGTGAGTACAGCATTTATTAAAGAACACTTTGCAAGCTCTTCCTCTGCAGCAGAGCCAGTTTTCTCAATCTAAAACACATTTTGGATTATACTGACAGATGCATCAAATTGGCTGTTGTAAAAATGTTGTTCGAATAAAACACTAGACCAAAGTGCATTCTAGACGTTGGGTAGAGAGTACACAAGTGATTCATCCAGAGTGTGGCAAGGTCTACAAGAAGCCTTTATATATATCATGCCAAGCAACCTCAAAGCATTTATAACACTGACTCTAAAACACATACAGCAAAAGGTGAGTTTATAGCAGGACGTCTCTATAAAATGAAATGAGTGAACAGGGTTAACTGGTCATCTATCTCACCAAGTTTAAACAATATATACAAGAACTGAAAGCACCAAGAGATTGTCAAAGGTGGTTTTATGTTCTGTAGCCTGTGTGTGTGTGTGTGTTTGTGTGTGTGTGTGTGTGTGTGTGTGTGTGTGTGTGTGTGTGTGTGTAGGAGGATTTTCATTTTGTAGTCTATTAACATTTTCTTGCTGGCAAGCGCAACACCTTACAGACAAATGAAAATTTAGTATTTGAAGATGTGCTTAATGAAACATATAATTTCAATCACACATCTGAGTCTCTCTATAACGCATAATGCTGAAGCAGTAGAACACGCTAAGCACTGAGGTTGGGAATCAGTCGCCCCTGTTTGGATTTACACTATTTTTGTATTTGTATTTTTGTGAGCTTTTGGTAACTGGACAGGCTCTATTATAACTAGACCATAAGGGCATCCCATATTACTTGGGTCCAACTCCTGCATAACATATGAGAGTTCAAACTACAAACAAGGCCGCAGTACTTTTCTTTCTTACTGTAAATAACACATTATGCCTCTGCCACCAGAGGACATATTATCAATTCACTCACATTTACTGGGTCATTCATTCCTGTTACATAACAATCCGCTTTAGGGTTTTACACTCACCAAGTGGGATGTCAATAGCTGTGACCACAACCCCTATGGTGTTGGTCACTGCTTCTCCAACCTTCCTGGCGAGGGTTCCGCCTTCTTCCTCCTCGAGCTCTGCCTCAAGCAGCTCTGCATAAAGAAAATATCTTTGCTAAAGCAGAGCTCACCCAAATGATAAATTGCTTCAAGACATAGAAACAGGAAATGTTTGACATGATTAGAAGTGCGTGCACCTGCGTATGAAGCTCTCTGCTCGAAGCAGACGTCACAGACTCTGACAGGGGCAAGACCCCAGCCTCTCTCAGGGACGGGCACAGCTTTGGATGAGCAGCCGTCGCAGAAGCCTTCCCCACAGGCACGGCAGTGATGCTTGGTGTCGTTGTCCTGGAAGACTGTGTGACACTTATGGCACACCTTGTCCAAGAGAAAAACAATAACAACAGAAGTTGTTATTGACCACGAGCTAGAGGGGACAGGACGCAACCTGAGTCTATCAGAGTTTTATCTTGTGACCTGCAAACATAGATTGTATAATAGGCCCAGTACACCACTGACAGTAAACATCCCTCTGGACATAGAAGTGTTGACTTGGCTGTTGGTGGTAGAGGGTGGGGCTGTGTGTGTCACTCACCAAAATGAGGGAGTTGGGTTTCCAGTAGGCTGGGGCGATCTGATCTGTCAGCCAAGAGGTGACGGCCTTGGCAGGCTTGACACTGAGCTCTGACACAGACTGGGCCACTAGGTTGACTCCATCCAGGAGACGCTGCGCTGCATTGCTGTTGTCCTTTAAAAAGCCATCCGACTGCAAAAGGCAGGCAGGTTTTCGTAACATAAGTAGATAAATGGTTCCCTCTAGCCATAATTATACCTCTGTATGATTACAGATAATTATAAAAATCTACATCAGATGAATAAATTAAATAGCGTGTTTCTCTTACCCCTGGCCATACATGTTGGATCTCAGTACGGACAACCGTATCCACAGGGTCCTGGTTCCCGTACCAGTATTGACGGCTTCGATAAATCACTCCGCAGTTGGGACATTCAATAACATACCTGAGCATACAGTAGATGCAGAAATATGACTACATTTGTCGTCAACCACATCCATCGTCAACCACTTATCCTGCGTACAGGGCGAAAGGCGGGGTACACCCTGGACAGGTCGCCAGTCCATCGCAGGGCCACACATAGACACACTCACATCCACACGAACATGCAAACTCCACACAGAAAGGCCGGGGCAACCGGGGTTTGAACCCACGACCTTCTTGCTGTGAGGTGCTAACCACTGCATCACCACGCCGCCCTGACTACATTTGTAGGTATTATGTGCAACATGTAGGGTTAATGTAAATGCAAACAGAGTCTAGTGCTAAAAACTCTCTAAAGGTAACATAAGCCAAGTTGTGCGTGACCCTGCAGGCCATTCAGAAGCAACTCACCCAGACCAGGCGTATTTGGCGAGGCCCATCCATGGAGAGTCTGAGGAAGCTGAGGTCTTAGGGACAACTATCACTTCCTTTCCCCCTTCATAGCAAGCCTAAAGTGATGCACCACACAGTGAATTAAATGCCCAACTCCTCAGTCACGGAACAAGAGTAACTACAAAGTCAGTGATACAGAAAGAAAGCTTAGCCATGTCAGGAGCTACTGTGCTTACCTTACAGGTGTAGATGCGGTTATCATACTGAGCAGAATAACGGCAACGATGCTTTGCCTCGTGGCACATTCCTTCTACTAAGTGGTTCATGCTGTTCTTGCAGCCAGATCTGGGGTAAAAGTAACGCGTCAGAATGTTAACCAATCTGAAAAGCTTGTGATTGAAGGAGAGATTTAAATGATTACTTGTTGTTTTTTTAATTTAAAGGCATTAAGTCCTGAAAGTACTAAGTACAGGTACTGACCCACAACCCAGGCACAGGCTGGAGCAGGTGAAGTACTCATCAGGGAAGAAGCAGCTGTGGGCAACAAGCTCACCTGTTATTTCCCCATTGAAGCGCTCACTCAATGCCTGTAGGAATATCAAGGATATAGACATTAGCTAGACAAAACTTCCTCATTATACAGTAATATTACATAGAAACAGCATACGAGCATTTTACAAACAGTAACATAAAAATTACAACTTGTGCTGTGTTAGTTTCAATAACATCATCTTTATCTGAATCCAGGAACCAGTTTATCAGCAAATTGTGTATCAATTCAGTTCAATGCTGGCTTTACAACAACAAATAAGCTGGTGTGAAGCTGGCTGACTTTATCCAGCCCTACCTGCAGGGCTTTGAAGATGACCATTGGGGTGCGTGGGGAACGGGTGGCGTTGTTATCCAGGAGCTGCTCCAGTTTATTCTGCAGGCCACGGAAGTCAGTAGGGGGGCTGAGGGTCTGCGTTCCCCAGTACTGGACAGAACTGAAGGCCTCTGGGAAACGGGAAAGCTTCTTGAAGCGCTCCGACAGCAGACGATCTACTGACTCAGATGACTTATCTAAAACAAGACAGAGGTGGCGAGGTTACTACAGAGTGGAGTCAGGACATACTGTAGATATTACATTAGCATTTGTCTATCAGCGCATCAGATAACAACATTCTGAAAATACTGTGTTTGTATACAATGAATGGATACTTGCATCCAGTATGACATGTAAAAGGAAAATACAATGGTGCAGCATCAGACATCAGTCCAAAAAAACAAAAACAAAAAAGCCACAAATACTTAAAGCTAAGAGCAAACACATGTAGTCTGTTGTCCTAAGTCTTGAAGGCTCACAGTATCACAAGTGTTCCTTCATGTTGTAGCACATTTACCACAAATCATCGAGACTTACCACATTCCCAATGTGTTTTTTGTCCCTCATAAGCAGTACTTTCACTTTTTTTTTTTCTTTTTCTTACTTTTCATAAATTTCTATACAATGTTAAAAAAAAAAAAAAACACAACTTGTGGAGACTTGCAACTTATTAGGGTGTTGTAATGCATGGCAGTTAATATCAGGTATTTCGTTTCCTTGAGTTATTTTATTGCTGCATGGCAACGGAGCACAGGCTTACCAAGGAAACTTGCATTTACAACGGCTGCGGTAATGGACATCTGACAACAGTAAAAGCAGGCAAGATGCTCACTATGGGGGCATGCCTAACCGTAGCAAATTGCAAGTTGCTTTGCATTCCGTGACAAAAACGGAAAACACATTTACATCAAGGTGAACTGCAGGCATTAGAAAATGGTTGACAACAACATAAAGTATGCATTGCAACTGGACTAAAACATGCAAAAAAACAAGTCTGACTACAGCTAGAAATATGTGGCATTTTTGACTTCACAACACGATGGGCACAGTTTTGTTCCAATGTTTACACAGTTAAAAAAACTTGGAATGCAGATTGCTACCTCCAGTTATGTAGAAGAAAGACAGAAAGAGAAACACTGTGTGCTAATATTTGCCAAACCTGTAATTATCTGCAGTGCAGTTAACCTTTACTGACGCAGACGTACATTCATGGTGATACAGTGGAAATGTACTAATCTAATGTTCTAATGGAAGTTTTTAAGTAAATTTATAATAAAAGCTTTGACTTGTCTAATAAATGTGTAACATGTGAAGTAATTACACTCCAGCCATTACTGGTGGGATTCGGGAGAAACAAAACTGTTGAGATATTTTACCTGAACCGAGCAACTTAGTGTGGACTGTTTCGTGAAAGATGACCACCGCAGGGCCCAGGGTGGACAGTGGAACATCCAGGCCACAGCGGGCCGTCGTGGCCTTCAGTTCCTTGGTGAAATGCTTCAAGTAAGCATCCGAGGCGTCCCCGAGGAACTTGAAGAGGTCATCATGGAGGCGGTCGGCATGGGTACGGTAAATGATGAGGTCGGAGATGGCGAGAACCTTGAGCAAGAGACGGGTTCTCTGGCCCTGTTTGGAACTGTTCCCAAGCAGCCCCTCTGTATCAATAACTACTACTTTTCGGATGGGGTCAAACGCTGCCCACACACCCACCGTACAGGACTCTTGTGTGGGAGAAGTCTTGAACACTTCTCTCCCCATGAAGAATGTGTGGTTCAGGGTGTGAGATTTGCCCTCTCCTGTGTTTCCAAATATGGACACCACCTTCAACAGCTGGTCGGGCTCGCAGCTCAGGCTCTTTACAAATGACGTTTCATCTCTAACCTGGGGGAAACAAGAACTTAGAAGTTTTAAACGATACCTAAATAACAAAATGTACAGTATAAACAAAGGATTTAAGAAAGGTATTCTGATTCTGTTCCTTTTCAATAACAAGTGTCATTTTTACACAACTCACCTGCATTTCCTCATTCTCATCAACCAAGAGAAAACTGGAAACCTTCACCAGAAGTTTTTCTCTCTGAGATTTGATCTCATCGGCTATTTGGACAGCAGTAGGGACAGCTGTCTGGACAGAGTTGACCTCTGCAGGTTTGGGTGGTGGAGGATAGGATGTGAGCTGGTGTTTCTTCTTGCTGCCTACACTGTGGGTGCGTTTCTGACAGTCTTGGCACAAGTTAACTTTGCAGTTCTGGCAGCGGACCACTGATCTATGGCGTTTGCCGTTGTCTCCGTTACCTCCTTTACAGTTGTCACAGTAAGGGACATGCCCAGGACCTATCTGAGCCCGCTCATGGTTCTTCAGACGCTCCTGATTGTGGAGCTCGAGCTCACAGCGCGCACACTGCAAGCTTTTGCATTCATTGCACTCAAACGCAGCCTCCTCAGAGCCACCACAGGCATAACTCTCTTGACATATTAGGCTAGTATTGACTCCCTTTTCTGAATATGAGCCATGCCCACTCATCGTTTCTTACAAGGTCAATTGAAAACAGAGCAAGGCTTAGTGGAACACCTTTGACAACAGCACAAACAAGTCCCAATACAAGTTAATGAAAAATGTACAACAGGCGATAATACTGACAACTGAAATGGACAAATACAATGACTAAATCAACTTAAAACAGCTGCATGGTACGAGGGTTAGTGAGTCACTTAGTCTCAACAATATAACTGATAAAACTGGTTTAATGATGTAACGTTAATTCAGTGCAACTAAGAGTGAAGCAATAAAGCAGAAACAGCCGTCTCTGTGAGTAACTTAACACCTGATGTGTTTTTACCACTAGCTTAACAGTTAACGTTAGCTTGTTTGTGTAGTGAAGTTAGCAGTTAGCAGCAGGATTACTTAAAAATATACCTAACGTTAGCGAATAAAACTAAAATAATACAAAAACGTGTGCTCGTACCAACCCGAGACAATGAATTCTCCCTGAAAAGATGAATGTGCAAATACTGATGCTAACAACAGGCTAGCTAGCAAACTGACCCTCAATAGCTCGCTGGCAAAGTCGGTGAATAATTTGGCAACAAAGCAGCAATATGTAGCTAACTGCTAGTTGGTTTCGACAGACAGTTTCAACTTTTTGCAAAGAAAACCTGTAATTAGCGGGCCAGCGAGCCTTAACAGTTTATAGCCCGTCCTAACAAGCAGCAAGCCTCCAGTCTGTCAACAGAGCTGTAACAACATATCAACAAAAACAACAGCCAGTCGATGTCAAAAGCTCGGGTGTCCGCGGACTCTTTATTTTTTTAAACGGGAAGGAAATCCGCGCGATCCCGTTTTAAAAGTCTTTTTTAAAAGTCTTACTGTGTTTGGATCCTTCCAAGCAGTGTCATTGTTTTGTTCTTCAGCCCCCTCCCTAGCAGACTTCTCTAGCTACGTTATTTTGTTGCCAGGTCAGATCAGCTGATCAGATTATTTTCACTCACAGGGTCAGAGGAGGGTAAACGCGCGGTTGCATGATGGGAAAAGTAGTTTTACAAGACAGACAAGCTGCGACTTGCCCAAGAGGAGGCTACGATTTCTGTGCAGCATCCAAAGTGTTTTCATGTGCTCACAAAATCCAGATTTTACTATCATGGTTAGCTCAAAATTTAACTTTTAAACGATCACAGCTATAAAAACCTATTTCTTTAGCCTAACTGTTGCTGAGCTGCTGGGTTTAGGGTGTCTTGCATGTAAATTATTGTTGAAGGAGGGGAAGTAGTAGCCTACATTTTTATCTCACCAAGTCTTCCCTATGGGCAAGACAGAAGCAAAATCACATATGTAAGATTGCTTTCAGATAATGCATGTTATATGTAGCAGTTTAGTGCTCTCTTTTGTGTTTCTGATACATATGCATATGTTACAGATAATGTAAAGTAATAAAATCATGGTCTGAGTTGGTATAGCAAATTGTTATTTTCTGTGATTAAAAATGCATATTTGATCATTATTTTATCACAGCAAATTCATGGGTGTTTTAAAAGTAATTGTTGGAAACATGCCTCAGTATAAGCTTTCAAATAGAGGATGGATTTACATGGCTTTTGTCTTGTAAAGTAGCCCTTCAAAGAAAGCATCAGCAGGTGACCATTTGTCCCAAATGGCACTTTGTGTTTTCCCTCCATTTCTTCATTGACTGTACCTTCCACTGTAAGGTCTACAGACTGTATGTTTTCAGATATATTAATTAAAGCAATTCCTACAACTGTCAATTAAATGCGTCACACTGCAGTGCATTTATTACAACACTTTAACACACACACACACACACACACACACACACACAAGTAAAACATGAAAACAAGGAAGAGCAAAATGAAAAGAGCAGAATATGTCAGTGATCTTAAATCATATTGTTTTAGTGCACAATCCACATTCTGCAGAGAAATGTTTTGATAAAATGCATAAATTGTCATAAAACCCTGAAACGTGTCCATCAAGCTGTGCCTACATTCAGTCCTCTCTTTGATTCCACATCAGATGAATCTGAAGATTTTCCTCCATCCACTATCACAAAAAGTCTTCAAACGTTTAAGCGGGCTGAGCTTTTTAGATTTTGCGCCGTTGTGCTTGTGCTTGATGGCAGCAAACACAGCACTGTCAAACACATTTTTGAGGTTGTGTTGTGTCAGAGCTGAACACTCCATGTAGTCGTGAGCTCTGATCCTGTGTGCCAGCCTTCTAGCCCGGCTCAAGCGCACTGGTTTGGTGCCCAGCTGGTCCAGATGAATCAGGATGTCCACATTGTAACGAAGGTCTGACTGAGTCCCAACCAGAACGATGGGAGAGGTCGGGTTGCCAGCACAGATCTGTGGGATCCATTTGGAGGTGATGTTGTCAAAGGAGACAGGGTTGACCAGGCTGAAGCAGAGGATGAAGACGTCCACATGGGCATAGCAAAGAGAGCGGAGATGGCCAAACTCCTCCTGTCAGATTAAATATAATGTGAGATGAGGAGGAAAGCACTGACTAACTAAAGAAATCATAATGTGGTGTGGAATATCTACCTGTCCAGCAGTATCTATCAGTTTGATACGAGTTGGAATTCCATTCACATGAACCAAACCTGGAAGTCGAGTAGAAATAAACATTTTATTGCTGAGTCGAGCAGGCATTAACCTTTAAAGAATAACCTTCACTCACCAGTGAAAACATCAAAAGCTGTTTGTCTGTACTCAGTGTTGTAGCCATTGAAGATGTAACTGATGATCATGCTGGTCTTCCCCACAGCTCCATCACCAACCAGCATGCAACTCAGTTCTTCCCTCGGTCTGTTTGGTTTGTCATGCCTCTGACAGGCCATCTTTCCTCTGATTATTTCTCCATTTTCCCATCAGCGGCTTGAAAGTCCATGCAGGAGTGCAGCCTTACTGTAAAAGACGTCTTCTCCCCCAGGGGCCCGTTGGTGCCAATAAAGGCAGGAGGACACCTCGATTTGAAAGAACAAAGGCGCCCAATCAGATGAGTGATGCCCCAACACTTTGTCTGTTTCCCTTTGATGCAGATTAACATAGTCACTCCCACCAGCATGGGCCTGACCACTGGTAAAGATCAGCTGATTTGACCTTGAATACCCCGTGACAAAGAAGGTTTTTATGATCGCAGCACCACCACGAGAAAGTGCTACGATAATTAACGAAGTCAGGCACCACTTGGATTACGACTTTTTTAATGTAGGAAATGCTCCCTATAAATGGGACTCTTAAGATAGGCTATGCTGTGTAAGAACTGATAATTAGATTTGCTGTTGATGGATTCAAATGCACCATCTACCCTATTACAAATTACGTAGCCTATTTTAAAGTGCGATCTACTGTCAGGGGCGGACAGGCCATTGGGAATATTGGGAACAATCCCGAACGGCCAAGACTTTGTATATTTTAGTTTCTTATGTTCAGCTTTAAAGGATCCGCGATTGTCGTTCCAGTCAGCTGTAGTGAACGCTGTCTGTGTCTATCAGACTGGGCCAAACCAATACTTTCAATATTTAGGGGGGATACGAGCGGCCCCTCCCAACTTGGACCGATGCTCGTTTTTGCTGAAATCTGATTGGCTCAACGGTGCTGATCAAAGGAGTTTACTTTCCAGTTAGGACGAGTTTACACGTTTTGTCAGGGATGAACTCAGCCCAGGACTGTGTGACAAGCCCATAGAGAAGGTAAATATGTCGAAAAGAAAGAAAGAGGAAAAAGAAATGTGTGGTGCCGAAAAAATAAGAATTTATAAGACAAAAATGTTGGCACAAGAGGCAGCTAAATGCGCCAAATTAACCGACTTCTGTCTTGGTGGAAAGGAGTGCTGTGGCAGCGCAGATGAGGCAGGACCAAGCACAGCCACTCATGCATTTATTATAACCTGATATTATTTATATATGCATTTATGCATAGGCATATAGGCTATATTGTATATTTATATATATTATAAACAACAGTTGAAGGAAGAAGGAAGAGGAGGAGGATCAGGAGGAGCCGTAGGAGAAGGACAATGGAACCAGAAACAGTGCAAGGTACAGGGTGTGCAGTGCTGGGTATGCAATTATCCATAGATAGAATAAGAAAATGGATATTGTATATAGTTATATTTATTACTGATGTTCTTAACATTCATATGTAGCTGTATAATCAGCACAAGCAGAGTCAGGGTCCAGCACTGAAGATGAGGGATTTGATTTTTATGCACACACATACACACTGCTGTATTTTATGGGACTGCATTGTAGTTTTTGATTTTATTTAACTATTTTAGCATTCTGACTGACTCAGGCTTACCTGACCTGGTCTTGTTCAGTGCAGTGGTGCCTTGCTTATACAAATTTAAGAGGCGGGTGTCACAAAAGTTTCTTTAAGGTCTTTATCATAGTCTAATGAAATTGACTGTGAACAAGTACAACACTATTTATAAAAATAACATAATAATTTTTCGCTGCGCCCCCAAAGGCCTCTCCGTCTCAAAGTCCCGGGTTGAATTTCAGTCCCACATCCCTGTCTACTGGACTCAATAGACTCTCTTGCTGCAATAGAAAATTGAAATATTGTAAAGGAAAATAGCCTTTAAAATCATGGTCTTTGTAGGGAGTAGGAAAATGTTATTTTAAGGCTACTCTGTCATGTTAAAAATGTTTTATATTTGCTTCTATTAGCTTATATTTGCATGACTGTCCTTCAATGTTCTCAATGAGTGGGTGTAATACCATTATCTGCCTACAGAGGGAGGTGTTGCTCCAGCATCATCTTTTGCATGTTGGCTCTTCATCCAGATGCTGCTTTCAATTTCGTCTTCCAAACTTGTGTTGTGTTGCTGGTGAGCAGACTACAACTTGCCGAGTATTCAGGGTTAGTCAGACACATGATGCACTTTTGCAGTGGCTTTTGTATTTTCATATTTCAAGTGGGCCACGGGTGTTTATCGTCACAAAAGACCTGCTTTTCATTTCATAATCCATTTCTGTAATTGTATGCACAGTTTTCAGGATCCGTGCTCTCTAAACAATATATCCCGCTAACTTTGTTGTCACAGACATTTTTAGTTTATCCCAGACTTTGTTGTCACATTGTATCATTTGTTTTCAATCTATAAATTCCTTTTTTTTTAAGGCACTCAAAGGCTGCTTTATTCTCCCATGTAAAAGGGCAAAGGGCACAGCTGAGGCGGCATTGTTAGACTGTCACCAGCTGCAGTTTATAACAGTAACTTCATGTGCTATGTTTTATCCTGTCTTTTTCAGGGTGAGTGGGTTCATAAATACACAGAAAATAGGGACTGCAAAACTACTACCAGTAATGATAATAAGAATACCTTAACAAAAAAAAATGACATTGTAGAATGTGCACTTTGGACGCACCCTGACTAATGCAATGGTACAATGACTCGTGCAGCCCACTATGCACAGAACGGCTTATTAAACTGGAGTTTAAATGTGCTTTTTCAGTCACACATCAATACGGTTGTGAACCGACGTTAACCCTCTTAACCTTTAGCTTAGCACAGACAGCTTTAAAGCATTCTTGCTGTAATTGCAGTGAACCTGTTCTGCTCCAAATTTCAAATTTTTTTGTGTTTGCAGATGGAATAACTAAATCACCTTAATGTTATGCTGAAGAAAGACCTGATCCTTGGACACCTATTCTCACCTCAACATCAAAAGACACAGTTTTGACTAAAATACAAACACCTTGCCCCATATCGCCTCTTTTGCATTGGAACAGCTGTAGATTCCTGATTGGTTTTATGAAGATAAGAAATGTGCAGGTGATGATGCTTATGATTAGGCCTTCAGATCATCATCACACAGCAATCCCTGTGTCTTGGCCTGTAACCTTATGACGTAGGGCTACATTTTCATAATGGTAATATTAGCAGCCATTGAGACACCGTCTTACTGTATTTTGCTTTTATTGAACTCACTACTGCTGTAGTTTTGAAGTATTAGGGCTGAGGGTTTCAAGAACTCAAAATCCACATTCTCACAGCTGTAGTGCAGAAGACTTGTACGAGCACAGTAAGATGCGGTTTTTGAGATCGGGAAACGTTTGGGAATGAAAATACAACTTTAAACAAAGTGTTGTTCCTTATCTGTCTGAGCCTGCAGGAAACTCTGTGAGCATTGTGTTGTAAGGTCTCTGCTTCCTGCTTGCCGTTGTTTCTCACTCACTCGTTCTCTTCTCCCTTTCTCTCCCCCTTTTTCCCACCACCTGCGGTGTGAGTGATAGAGTTTATTCCCCATGGTAGGAGGACAACATCTGGTTTCCCCCCCATGACACACATCATGTTGCCAGCTTGACTCCCATGCTACACCTCTGGCAGCTGTGAATTACAATGCTGTTCCTTAATCCAAGGTAAATGTCAAACACAGGAAATGGTCTTTAAATACCTCTACATCCAAAGATTCTTTTTCCTGTAACAGCCACTTTTGTCAACATAGATCAACCAGTAAGCTGCTCTTCAATGCTACTAATACACATATATGCACTGTGCAACTACATGTAAATATGCTTGCAAGGTTTGCATGTACCTTAACTTGTGCAGCAGATGTCAGCAGTGCGCTGATGACTTTAACAGTGGCCTATATCTGCATATCTGATACTGTAAACATGTTTTGTGTCTGCATTCTCATGCTCTCACTCTCTCTTTGCATGACTTAGACATGCAAAAATGTATCCTGACATAGATTCATAGAGGTAATCTGCTTAGTAAGTGTTTCTAAAATGTGTGCAGCTTAGGGAGATCCCCCAATATAAACAGCACACTTCAAAATTCATTCCACTTGTGTTAATCTTCCTTGATTTCTGTGAAAATATGCAAATATATAAGATAAACTCAGATACTCTTCATGCCCCAACTATTGGTCTGGTTGTACAAAAGTAAACACAGTAACTAACTCAAGTTCCATGCTGCGTATCAAATCTGACAACAATAGAGAAATCTGCCAGATAGGTGTTAAAAGATTATGCTCCTCCCTAAGCCAGAGATCAGCACGGCACACTGTAGACAGGGCACAAAACTGTGGCTAACATCGAGATGAAGTGAAAAACAAACCATTTGCATTTCCTGCATAATGTCTCTTTAGGTCGATATCGCCTAAGCCCTTAAGTGGTGAGGATTAGAGCAGGATGGGTGCTTCCATCACACCAAGACCTCACATAGTTCCTAGGTGTGACTTTAGGGTCACATTGGAGACACAGTGTCACATGCTATACATATATTTGTCAGGACCGGGGTCCAGAACTCAAATGCAGACCAGAGTAGTATTTCAATCAATGGTGATTTATTTCAAAAATGGTGAAAACAGGGATTTGGCCGGGGTGCTGGTGAGTATCTGAGTCCGGGGTCCAGGCTGGCACTCTGTGGTCAAGACAGGAAAAAGCGAGTTAATTATCAGTATCTCAAAAAGTCAGACAAGGTTCAAAGTTTCAAGACAACATTTTGACTGGCATGTGTGCATACTGGAACGTTGGTCTGGGTTTTATGGGTGAGTTGATTGCAGGATGTGGAACAGGTGTGCTTGATTGAAGTGATGAGCCCCGGTGAGCAGGCAGGAGCACCAGCGACCACGCCCACCAGCATTATCCAGAGCATTTGAGGGAAAGCAGAATATAGAGACAGACGCCAAAAATAAAAACACACCAAGTACACAGCCGACATACCAAAAGGGCAAAAGAACGCAAAAACTACATTCACACACATATCATAAGGGAGGCCAGTGTCACGGCCGGGGAGTTGTGACAATATTTACATAATCTCTGTGATACTGTTTGCAGTCTGATGTTAAAAGTCCTGACCTGCATGCTTGAATTTGACACAAAACATAGACTGTGGTGGATTAACTTTTGTGTTCATTGATGACTTGCAGTTATTGCCCTTGGGCCATAGAGTTAAGTTTTTGACCTCTTTACTGAGGCAACACAGGCAGACATATGTACTGCCACTCAGTATTAATCCACATTAAACTGTTGTTGCTGTAGTAGTGGTAGTAAATGCTGCCGTTAACATGCCAACATGCTCACAATAACAAAGCTACCATGCTAATGTTTAGCAGGTATAATGTTTACCATGTTCGCCGTCTTAGTTTAGTGTGTTAGCATGCTAATATTTGCTAATTAGCTGAAGCTGAGGGCAAAGTCATTAGTTTTGCAGGTTGGTTTAGTTATGAACCAAAGTTTTGTGACAAATTTAAAGATTGACGCTAGATAAGTTAATTAATCCTGAATCTGTGTACCTAATTTTATGAAAAACTACCAACACCTGAAAGCTGTTGAGACTTTTTCAAAACCACAATGTGGTGCTAGAGTTAAAGTCATGCCATCACCAAAGTCAGAGGATCCATCCTCTGAGGACCATGAATGTGTTCTAG